GCCACCATGAGGCGCGGCGCGGCGCGGCGCGGCAGATTTCGGGGCTCCGGACTTGCCACGCGCACTTCGCCTCAGGGGCCTGAGCGCCTCATCGCCTCCCTGGGCTCCTCAGGGAGTGGAAAACACCACTGAGATGTTATTATTACTATTCTTCATGGCCGGACTACTAAAATCGCCTCGCAGTTGCTGTGCCCGGCGGCCTGTTTTGATAACCGATGAGGCCGTGGGATTGGGGGGGGGGGTAATTTGTCCAGGCTGTGCCGTTTAAAAGATTTCTCAGTGTGTTACTCGGTTTGAATTTTTTTCCCCCTTCCACAAGTCAGATCCCAGCTGTTAGCAATCTAACTATATTAATACCTACCTAATTGAATATTGGAAGTGATGTTTCTCCTACAGTCCCTTTAGGGCTTCAGGCTGACACGCAGCTTAAGCATCTGCAGAGGGATCGCTGCAAGTCGGAGGTCTCAGGTGGCAAAGAGCTCCCTGGAAGATAAAACCTTTACAGGTAACTGTTCTTCGTTAAAGACCTTCCCTTCCGAAAGCTCCCACGTTTTGCCAGATGTGGAGGCGGCCAGCTAAGGCACGTGCAGCTTTTCCGAAGGGAACCGCTTCTCTTGTATCTGCCCTGGGGAGGGTCTCCCCGGGGTAGAGCAGTGGATGTGTGAAACAGTAAGCTGCACATCTGGGATGTGGAAACCGTAGAAGCTCTTAACGTTTTACGGGTGAACTTTGCATGAGCTGAAAGTGGAGAGGGGCAAAAAGACTATTTATTTTGCGTATTTAGTAAGTAAATGGTACCTGCTAGCCTATGAATGAACTGCTTTGGTGGCCTTTGGTGCTCCATGGTGGAAATAACAGGAGTTCTTCTAACGAAGCGGGCAGTTTGTCCAGCTGCTAGAGAGGAGGTGTTGGTACTAAGGCCTGCATAACCACAGGGATGTACTTTGGGGCTTCCAATTTCTTCTGCTCTTTCTACAATTCAGAATGGACCTTCTTTATTTAATCCAGCAGTAGTCAGCTACCCATTGCTGTTCAGTGCCTGTGATAGTGTTATGCTGCTGGGAGAGAAATGTGCTGGCAAGTCACCCCTGGTACCACTGGTGCTGTTCTAGTGCTAGATGGTGCCAGGTTTTGGCAGCACTCTGCATACTTGAGAGTGGACTAACTCTTTCTCAGTAGAGTTAATCCTAGATTGGATGCAGACAAAGCATAGTCAGAAAATTTAAAAAAAAAAAAAAGTCTTGCAGACATTTTGTTTAATACTGTGTCTTTCATGTAAAACTGAAGGTCAGGTAATTAACTGGTCAATCTTAAGGGGGGAATTTGGGGTCTTTAGAGATGTTCCTGTTAACTCCATTTGTATTTTTTTTTTTATTACAGGCAAATGGGTGTGCAGGTTTCACTGCAGGCAGAGGCTTGCTGGGGCAGCAGCAATTGTCTGAGGAAATCGAATAAGCTGTTGGTGCTGCTTTGAAGATCCCCGTTTGAAAGGGATTGAGGAGATGGACACTCATAATTCACAATTTAAATGAGACTACTTCTTGAGGAAAAGTTTGTCTTCAGGATTTGGATATAGTAACTCGAAACATCAAAGGTAGTGGGGGACAAGATGTAACTAACAAATTGTATAAAATATTTCTTGTAGTATGTTAATCCCCTCTCACTGCTTGCTTAAAGTTGTGGATCTTTTTTAGTGAACTATTTATTACCTATGTATTAAATCTATATTTATTAAACCTATATTTAAACTTGCTTATTCTGTTTCTTATTATATCATAAATGTACCTGGTTGAAATTACTTGTTTTGGAAATTGTACTTTGACTGCACTGCAGTCTACTTGCCACTTTCTCTCCTCAGAGTGGTGAGGAGCTCTAGTTGCTTTGGGAGAGTAGGAGTCCTGGTTCTGAGGCTGCCAAGTACAGCAGGATTCAAAAGTCACCTTGAATTCTTGTCTGCGGGAGACTCTGGAGAGGCAGGAATGTGACACTGGGAGACTGGTGCCTCCCCTGCAACACATGTGCACACCCACTGTCTAGCATAGCTTCTGCTGCAAGGAGAGTTTTTTTTAAGTGTTGCATTTCCTCCTGCACAAGTTCATAAGGTAACCTTTCTATTCTTCAGTTCTTGACTTGAAAGAACTTCCTAATTATCTCCATTCCCTGGGCCTGGAGGAAGTCCACAAAAGCTAGAGAAGTTAGAAAAGGCTGCCAAATACATAAAATAAATTGAAACTGGTAGGGAGGGGAAAGAAGGCCATCTTGGCTTCAGACAAAATTCTGTCAAATATTTTAACTCAAAAGTGATTCTTCTTGTCAGTGTAAAGGAGTATATTGCTCTCGCCAAGATGCCTGACCCATTTGGATTTGATACAGCCTTCTAGAAAACCCCGTGTTCTCTGAAATGTTTGGGAAATGGTCCAGACTTAGAGGGTTATTTTTTTTTTAAGCTGAAACTTTTGTTTAGTTTTCAGCTTTTAAAAAATGTAATAGTCTTCAATCAAACTATAATACAACGGTTGCCCTACCATATATCCTACTATCGCTCTAGTGCTCTCTATATACAAACTAAACTCTGAGAAGTATTGGTACTAGACTGCTGTCGTACACCATGCTGAAACTTACCAATGTGAATGTATATAGGTTGTCGGTGAAAGGAGTTTGATAAAAGAAAAAATAGCACATTGCAGGTTAGTACCTTTGTTATTCATGGTTTATAGCTAGATAGACACTTCTGCCACAGAGTTCTATATAAATGGATTACAGTACTTCATTTTTTTAGGACTCCTATTTTTTAAATGGCCCTGACATTACGCATTTGTCTGTTAGCCCTTCTGCCCCTCTGAAAAACAGCGATCTTGAATATGTATTTGATAATCTTTATGCAAAAATATTCATAGAAATACTCAAACAGTATTGGGAAAAAAGCTTTTCCGCAGTGGAAGTATATGACATACACGGTTCTGATTTGACTGGCTATATATGAGTAAGTCTTGCATGTAAAACTAATAACCTGGTTTCCTATGGATTTACGTTTTGCGTCTAGTACTTTTTTTCCCTGGTACTCAAGCGTCCTCACACTGCTTCCATGGGCAAGATGCATGGACTCCCGAGCCAGGAGGGAAACAATGGGTGCACTTAGGCTCTCTGGCTGTCTGCTGCCCTCAGGGTGGACGTGGGTTTCAGTTCTCAATTCAAAGACTTCCCTGTATCTACCCACTGATTGCCAAGAAACAAACTTCCTGTGTCAGGGATCTCTGCTTCTGTGTCAGATATTTCAAATTAGGATTAAAAGTCACTGAAAAAGGAACAAATCACTTGATTTCCTGAGCAGGCTAAAACACAATACATGCACTACTGTCAGTCATAATGTATGTGCTATATGGATACTAAGTATGTGCTGACTGGTGTGTTTCCCTGAAAACCTGTTTCTGTGATAAACTCTAGTACATTCTTCTCAGAGGTGAACTCAAGACTTCTAGGACTGCTTGTACTGTAACAAAAAGGCAGTAAAAAAGGACAGAGAAAGTCTGTGTTGGGGTAACCTCAAATCACAGCTGCTGCTGATGGCACTGATTATCTCATCCCAGTGCCCTTGGGAAAGACTGCAGAGCTCTTCTCCATACATATGCTTTGTATGCTGAGGCCTCTTTCCAGGCCCTGCAACTCAGCCTCAGGCCGTCTCTCTCCTTTTTCACCCAGTTAGAGGGGCACCACTCTTTTTGTGGATCCACCAGGCTTCGTCCACACATTGGAAAAGGAGAAAAGAAAGCAGAAACATCAGTTAAACATCCTCTGACGACCAACGAGAGTACAGGCTTACAGAACTGGGGGCCAGAAAGAGTTTTCAAAGGATCCACTGGAGTTTTGTGTGTTACCTTAGTAGCTGTGTTAGCTGGGTATTGCCAGCCAATGCTTTATGGCTCGTTTTGCAGTGCAGATCAAATCAATAAAGGTCAAAATCATTCACCTCACTGGCAATTTGGTGCCTTGACCTAAGGACAGAGAAGGAAAATGAGAGAACCCATGTGGTCTAAGAGGAAGAAAATACTGGGGTTGAAAGAAAGCTAGGAAAACGGAGTAAGGTTTACTTTTATGCTCAGGGAACGCTAGTGTGATTTATGGTTGCTTATTGTACGCTTGTGATAATGCTGCAGAGAGATGTTTCCTATCCTAAAGATTTTGAAATCTAAATACAATTTTTGCTGGGCAAAAGCGGCTTTACATTTCGTCTCGGAGCTTTGCTCGGCTTTCACTGCTCTGCAGCACTGGAACATAGAAAGTCTTATTAACTTAGATTTATGTGTTTGTTTTTGAGGATTTAAAGATTTTTTTTCTGAGCTTGTTAAGAGAGCTGTATTTTTGGTGATTGCTCTCTGAACACTTTCATATTATTTCAACATGTATTTCATATCAAACCTGTTTTTTTTTCCAAATACCTTCTGCGTTAGTGTTTCATTGTGCTTCTCAGCCACATACAGGGAAGAAAAATCAGCCTGTGATGAATTCAAAAGGGAGATTTTTCTTTTCCCCCAGAGAGCGAATTCAGGTACACACTCTCCCCCTTAGTAAAGCAGATTCAAAGATGCTGGAGAAATTGATTGTTTGGCCAGAAAATTAAATCGTAAAGAAAGATACTGACCGTGAAGTAATTTTAAATCATAAATCTTCGCCCAATTCAGCAAATTTTGGTTATAAAATAGAGCAAAGGAAAGGTGAACTTTCCTGGTGTGAGCACAAGGTGGCAACGCAGGCTTAGATAAAAGGGAATAGCTTGAATCAAAAAAAAAACCCTTGCTGAGGTTTTTTTTTTTTTTTGCCAGAATCTTCTAATGAACCTAAATAGGCATCGAGGACCCATTGTCTTAAATATTTTAGCGATGGTAACGTCTTCGTTCTGCTGACGAAAGCCCCCCTTAGGTCCGAGCTGACGGAGGATGCCTGCGTGGGCTGCCGGCGGGCCCGGCCCGGGCG